AGTGTTTGGTCATTTTACATGTGTGTGCTATGGGATTTGTATTGTCCCTTCCAAGTTTGTAACCAAAGACTCCTTCTTCATTTATTAAAACACAGATCTGTTCTAAATTTACCCTACTATGGCAAAACAGGAGTTCCATAGTAGTGAATCTTTAAATTATCACTTTGGAGCCATATACAATTCTCTCTGCAAAAATTCACCTGTGCTTAATCACAGAATTTCGGAGCCAGAGAAGAACCTAATGATCATAGAGACCAACCTCTTCATTTTATAGATGAGGAAAGCAAAGCTAAGAAGAGGATAAATAACTGGGCCATGGTCATACTCTAGCTTATTTTTCTGATACAAAATTGGTTCAATATACCTCCCTATCCTCTATTTGAAAATCAAAACTGACCTTCAATTGTTGACATGATGGAATAAGAGGGACCTGATTTACCCTTTACCTTAAACAATGAAAAGCAGGCAAAATATATAAACAGCAGTTTTCAGACATTGGACAACATGCTGCACAAGACAGTGATCTCTGGAAGAAGAGAAAGAAATGAGAGGAAACTGCCATCTCCCCAGCTTCCTGCCTGGAGAGATTCGAGGCTACAGCACAGGCAAGGGAACCCCAGCGAAGCCTGGCAGTTTTCCTGAGTTTCCTGAGACAGAGTTGAGAATTCAGATTGGCTAAGGCAGCTAGAATTTGTAGGGTAGATTATCAAAGAGAAGAAAGCCGCACAAAGAGAGAGCCAGTTCTAGAGAACCTGCGAGGGCTTCCCCAGGAGTCTTCAGCTGAGTACTGATCAGCATTCACGTGTGGGGAAACTACTCGAGGCCAAGGAGAGAAACACCCGAAAGACTAGCATTCGCACAGACTGGAAACAGCTCACATTCCAACAGCCTGAATTCACAAACTCTCTAACACATTGGTCTTGGGTCGAGGACTCAGACAGGGATTGCCTCATTAGCAGCCCAAATTGGTCCTAAACTAAAGGCTGCTCTGCTCTGGCCTATCAGAGTTTAAAGCTAGTCTCCAAAGGATCAAACTGTTTCCAAGTAACTGTGACCCAGAACATAACTCAAAAATATTTAAAGGAATGAAAAAAAGATCCCACACTGTGAAATTCACAATGCCTGGAATCCAATTTTCTTATTAGTGCTTCTTTTTTTTTACTGGGCATGCAAATTGAAGGAGGAAAATACCACCCATAATGAGGAAAATAAATAAGTTAATCAACATCAGATCCAGGGATGACACAGGTGATAAAATTAGTATACGAAGACATTAAAACAGCTTTTATAATTATGCTCCATAAGTTCCAGAAAGTAGGAGTGAGCATGTTAAGGAGAGAAAAGAAAGATATAAAAAAAGACCAAAGTGGAACTTCTTATGATGAAAAATACAATATCTGAAGTGAAAATTCAGAACTGCTATGGGAATTATAATTTTTGCCATTATTTCTATCATTATCAACACTACCGATGTAAAATAATACTTTCATTGGATCTAAAAATATTCCTTTTCATATAAAAATCTCAAAGCCACATCAATGTGCATCAAAACCATCAATGCAGAAGAGTGTTTGCATAGTGAGAATGTGCTAGCCGTACTCGCTACTGGTATTTATAAAGAATAGGAGCAGCACGCAGCCTTTTCTATATGCAAAACATGTGAAGTCAAGCGTGACTTCTATTCAGAAGAGTTTAAAGTCCAATGAAGGACGAAAAATTGGGTTCTGTGACTTCATTTTTAAGCTTGGTGCATGAATAAATTAAAGAAAAAAATTTTTTATATGCACCACTTAGGACATGGAATAAAGCTAGAGATTTTTAGACCCTTGCCAGGATCAGTGATGTCAGTATTCTCAACAATTTGTTGGTGAGCTGCAGTTTGAAGTATCTAACCTAAGAAATGTAGGTAAGAAGAAGGAGAAAATCAAGCCTGAAGCAGAAGTAAGACCAAAAGGAACTCTTGTGAAAAGTGGGAATGTAAAAAATGTGAGGACTATGGTTTACAAGTGGATATGAATCTTCCTGACAGAGGCTGAGAAGGAGATAACAGGAAAATGCAATTAAATTCAACCAGCAGTTATTGAGTGCCTGTTACCTGCAAGACACTATACCAAATGAAGTACTGTCCCTTTCCTCCAGCAACACAAAATATGATGCAAGAGATGGGTATAGATACATAAATAATTCTATCATAAGTCAGACTGATGGCCACAATAATGTAGACACAACAACAACTAGGAGAGCACAGAGGAGTGAAATAACTGAATCTTGGGGTAGGAAAATGAGGGAAGACTTCACATAAAAGGAAACATTTGAACTGTGTCCTAAAAGATACAAGGGATTTTAGTATATATAAATGGGGATCATTTGGTTATTCTCCATTTAATTTTCCCCTGCCTTCATTCTCACACTGCCATTCCTTCTCTGGCTCTCCCTGCCCTGCTTTGTAATCTATAGACTGCCTCATCTGACCATCCTTGGTGGTTAGCTGGCTTCTAGTTGAGTTTGGCCAGTCAAAGACATCCGCCAGAGATTAGACAGCAGGAGGAGAGAGAGTTTGGGGTGTTTGTTCACTGCCCCTCTCTACTTCAGCACTGTGGTTTGGCAGTGGCTGCAACCCTCCTGCCTACAGCTCCTACTGATGGCCTCCTTTCCCACGGTTCCAGTTCTCCCTGAGCTTTGGTAACAGTAGGTCATCCCCTTGGCCCTTCGGGTCTATGGAAAGTAAGAGCTTCCCTCTCTGCTCGTCTCTGAATGTCTCAAACACTCTTGTGGCTTCCCTTTACCTTGACTGTATCTCTGTAAACAGTCCCTTCATTGAACTTAGTTGAATCCAGTCCCAGACAGAGAGAACAGTATAAGCAAAGGCAAGAAGGAATATATGCCATGATTCAGGAACCATGACTGCACTATGGGGAACATAATGGGGTGGGAAGCTAGGATAGAGGAGAGTGGCTTTAGAAAATTGGGGCCAGATTGTGAGGGCCTTACTAAGGAATTTGGACTTTATTCTTGAGTAAAAGAAATCTAATGGTGGCTAATGAGTGGATACAACCAGATCTGTGTTCCCGAAAGATCTTTCTACTGGCACGTGGAGGATGGGATGAAAAGGGACTGAAAAAAATGGGACTGAAGGCAGGGACACCAGGTAAGAAGTTATTGCATAAGGTCCTAAAATGGCACATTGGATGGTGGTAGAGAGAATGGATTTGAAATGGGTCAGCAATAAAATCTATAGATCATGGCAAATAAGTGAATTGTGGAGCAAAGCAGAAGGAATTTTTAAGGATGACTTCTAGGTATCCAGTTTGGGAGAATGGTAGCCCTGTAAGTATAAAGGAGAATGTTCTTAGAATTGGGAACATGGGTTTGATTCAGATCACCTAGAAAATGAAGTGCTGTGGAGCGTTCTGGCTAAGATACTCAGCAAAGAGATGGAAATTTGGATCTAATGTTTCAGGAATAATGTAAGAACAGGAGATGAAAGCAGATATTTTAGAGGCCGGCCCGGTGGCATAGTGGTTAAGTTTGCATGCTCTGGTTTGGCAATGGGGGTTCGCAGTTCCAGATCATGGGTGCAGACCTACACACCACTCACCAAGCCATGCTGTGGTGGCATCCCACATACAAAATAGAGTAAGATTAGTGCAGATGTTAGCTCAGGCACAATCTTCCTCACAAAAAAAAAGAAAGAAAGAAAGTAGATATTCTGGAGCTATGGTTCTCCATCCTGCTATACTTGAGAATCACCAGAGGAGCATTTAAAAAATAGATCCCTGGGTCCAACCCCAGATCAATTAAATCCAATTTCTGGATGAGGTCAGAAATCAGATTTAATTGGTATGGATTTAATTGGATTTAATCTGGGTTTGCATTTTTAAAGAGCCCCCCCCCCGGTAATTTTTATATACGTCTAGTTCAAGAAGCACTGATTCAGAGCAAAACGGAAGCAACTAAAAATGGACATTTGAGGACACCAGCATTTAAAGTATTGTATTAGGAGATAATAAAGAGTGGCAGATAAAGATAAAGCAAGTAAGAATAAATTTATCAGGAGAGTGGGTGAGCAATTCACATGCCACGGACAGGTGGAAGAGGAATGAGAAGAGGCCGCTAGATTTGGTAGAGAGGAGCTCATTGCCAATCTCTGGGATTGCAATCACTGGGAAAGCAGTGTTAGTAGCTGCAGAAGCCCGGTTGCAATAGGCGAGGGGCAGATTTTAGATGAGGAAGTGGAGGGAGGGAGTGTAGACTACTTTTTCAAGAAGCTTGGTGCAATAGGTAGGAGAAAACAACCAGTAACTTAAGAAGAAAAAGGGTTGAGAGAAAGTTTTGTTGGATTTTAAGATAGAGAGCATTCGTTGACTAAGGTAAGGAAACACAAGCGGGAGAGAATGAAGATCACAGTAGAGAAGGGGTTACTGGAAGAGCAGGGCTACAGAGGAGCCTGGAGCGGATGGCATCAAGATTATCAGTGGAGTCAGCCCGGGAAAGGAGTACCAAAGAGATGAGCTTTAAGTTGAGAAAAGTTGAGGGAGTTCAAGCCATTATTTTCATAAAAGGTTGGAAGGCTTGGGTGACTGCTGAGAGCAAAGGAGGTGAAGGGACAGGGAAACAGGGCAGAGAACAGATATTGAGAGCTCTCCGTGTGCCAGGCACCATGCCGAAATCCTACCGCATTACCTCATTCAGTGATTAAACATGCTTTTGAAGGACAAATGTTGTCAAATGGGATAAGAAGCAGAACAGGCCTGTTCTGCCCAATTTCAGCCATCTAGTCACCTTGCTCCTCTGGTACCATTACTAATTAATGACCCTTTAAAGTTTGGCCTGCAATTTGTTTTAAGCTAAATGCTCATTTCTAGCTGAATAGGGAAAGATTTCAGTTATGATAATATTTCCTTAGTTTAGTTTAAAGGGAAAAGCCATAGAAGAACATTTATGAAAGAGAAAAAGCCTATTATGGAGAACACTCCATTAGTGAGGGCAGAGAGAGACGGTTTTCAAAAAGATAGCTGTTTAATGGTCCAAGTTAATGACAATCAATAAATATTTAGGGAGTAGAATTAACCTGCATATTTTTAAGTTCTTCTTTTAAATGTAACTTTAGATTACAAATCCATCAAAGGCTAGGACTGTGCCAACTCTTTCTATGATGCCTGGGCAGTTGTGTGGGCTCAGTGAATATTGACTGAGAATTGAACCATCCTGTGTTGCCAGAGCGTCGCTATTATCCATGTCACGTGGTACAGTCAAGCAGGCCAGCAAGCTAGATAGCTTCCAACTTTCCAGATGCAAATAGATGGCCAACTTGTGACACTGGCTGTCCTTTTCTCTTGGAAACTCTTTCCAAAATTGGGATCAATAAATTCAGAAGTAGCTGCCATGATTTCCTTCACTGACATCCCAGTGAACCACATTAGGAAGTGGGTATAGCTGCAAAGAAAGGCAGGAAACTTGACTAACCTGCTGGAATGAGTGTTGGGGTAGCCCAGAGGCATGATACTTCAGCTACCAGAAATCCAGCGGGAGTGGAGGTGGAGATGAGGTTGCAGAAGGCTTGGAAAGGCTGGGATAAACTCAGGGTAGCACCCCTACTTGGCTCTCCACAGCTTGAACACTGAACCACTATAAATTGTTTCCAAAGTTGCTCTGGGACCCCTTGTCATAGGCTGCTGAGCCCTGCCTTAAAAAGCTACCATATTCTATCTCTATCCTGTTCATTATTTATGTTTAGCCTACTTACAAAAAACAGATTTCAGAAGATCAGGCCCCCTCTCTTAAACGCAGAACAGCATGCAACTTTTACGTTCTGTGGAGACTGAATCTTAATCTACGTCACTCACCACTGTGAGTTGCCTGGCACATCAGTAGTTGGTGCTCACTAGATAGTTACTGAATGTTTGAACTTTGCTCATATCATTCTGCTTTCTCGTGTTTCTACATATTTTTATTTGTTTAAAAACTTCCCTGTAAAGTCTTTTTAAAAGTCTACTAAGTTTTTTCGTAATTCTTTACGTTGAATAGTCAGGAAAGATTTTCAGTGCTACAAGGAAGAGTCACTATGTAGACACACAGACGTCTTCCTGATCCTCCTCTGGGCTTCTTTTGCCTATAGTACTGGAAGTGTTCTAACACAGGTGTACTGAGGGAATATTAATCTGCAACTCCAGGGCTTTCTGTCATCTGTTTCCTAAATAAATAGCTTTCAAGTGAAATTGTTGTGGATGGAAGACCTTCAAGGGTTGTATCACCTGACATTTAGTTAATGCATTTCTTAAGGGAAGTCTCCATTTCTCTGCTTGAGTCTTGTTCTTCTCTATTACATCCTGGGCAGGTCGATATAAGACAAACATTTTCATTTCTTCTGCATTCTAAAAGGTCAAAATGATAACAAAATCAGAAATAGAACCCACATCTTTGGCTTTATTGCAGATCTCATCCTACTTAACTTTTATCCCTTGGCGCCTTGTTCTGTTGGCTGGGCTTAGAGACAACTATCTTGAAATAAGCAGCTCTCAGCTTCTTCCTTTGCAGCTCACCTTCTTAATTCATGTCATACCAGCTTGGTAGGGTGACTCCTAAACTATAACAACAAGAATAGTAAACTTAATTTTATATAGGATCCTTCATACAGCGCCATTACAAAACGCTTTGCCAATTTAAGAGTTGTAGAATTACAAAGCAGCGCTATCGAATTAAATAAGTAACAGCTGATACTAATAATTAGCTTAATTTATGGTCTAGCAGAACTGTCACAACTGAGGCAGCTCTCCCTCCGCCTCTCATCTCCCTCTCTTTTCTTCCTCATCCCTCCTCCTTTGGCAATGGCAACCAAGTGAAGTGCTGAGATTGTCACATTAGTCATCAGAAAGTCAAGTCACTTCTTCCTTTACTCGGTAGCTTTACGACCTTGTTATATCAAGAATTTTCAACCTTTTTGGAATTGCTCCACCCCTTCATGGTTTGATTTCTCAACTGCTTCTCCTAATGGCAGGCACCTGGTGGGAGAGGCACGGTAGGCTAGTTTGAAATCTCTTGAGAATTCACAACAATCCCAGAAAGGCTCTTGCTTTTTGCAAAATCAGAGTTGACAATTACTGCTCTGCAAGGTAACCTTGTAAAGAGGGTTCTCCTCTCCACTTAAGCCAGGGGACTAAAAACTCAAACACATCAGCAAGGTCACGCTGGGGCCACGTGGCAGAAATTGGGAATGACTCTGTTTTTCCAGTGTCTGTGCATGGCAGCTTTCCACAGATACTCTAACCTCACTGGTAATTGGAAAAAATTCAAGAATGTTCTTACATAAACCTCATCTAAAAACCCATGCAGTTTAGGCTTAACGCAGAATGTCCATTTTATCACATTTATTAATCACTTATCTCCCTATCTACTGACCCCTCGCCTCTAAATTCTGAAGAAGAAATATGGGCTTTCTCTACCATCAAAATAACGTAACCTGGGGACCAAACTCTGCAGAGCTGCTCTTTGTGTAAGACATGTTCTTGGGGCCAGAGGATATTAGGACTTGGAGGCTTTTTATATTGTCTGCTGCAGCATGTGGGGAAATTGTCAGTGTCTTCTATGCTCTGATAAAATTGCCAACTTACCTGAATGAAAGCTGTTTCAGTAACACTCCATGCTGGGGAGGGGTTTCTGGGCAGGGCAGCACTGACATTTTATGCACCTTTTATTATTCCATAAAAGTGATTAACTGGGGGCTGGCCCGGTGGCGCAGTGGTTAAGTTCCCACATTCCACTTCAGCGGCCTGGGGTTCGCTGGTTTGGATTCTGGGTGTGGACATGGCACCACTTGGCAAGCCATGCTGTTGTAGGTGTTCCACATATAAAGTAGAGGAAGATGGGCACGGATGTTAGCTCAGGGCTAGTCTTCCTCAAAAAAAAAAAAAAAAAACGTGATTAACTGGCAATTTATTACTAGGTTAAGACATCAAAACAATTAAAATGAACATAAAAATCTAACATTGCCAGACTCTTTGGACTCCCTGAGAGTAACTGACATGACATGTCCATCTTTCTCCCCCCCATGCGAACTCTTCATAGGAACTCACCTGTCTCTCTAATACCTCCTGACCTAGAGGTGACTGATGGGCCCAGGTCTGAGTCCCATCAAGCATGCGGTTGTTTTTTGCAGGGGAAGAGATCTGTCAGTTTTCCTGAAGATGAGCTTGTCTACTATGAAAGAAAATCAGTGCTCTTTAACTGTGGACTAAACCAAGACAGATGTCCAGTTCTTGCCTCTTCCCACCATGTAGTCTTCCTGATTTTGTTTGGTTGATACTACCACCAAAACAGGAGCCTTCCTGGGGCCCACCTGGTGGCGCAGCAGTTAAGTGTGCACGTTCTGCTTTGGCGGCCCGGGATTCACCTGTTCGGATCCCGTGTGCAGACCTACGCACGACTTATCAAGCAATGCTGTGGCAGGCCTCCCACAGATAAAGTAGAGGAAGGTGGGCACAGATGTTAGCTCAGGGCCAGTCTTCCTCAACAAAAAGAAGAGGATTGGCGGCAGATGTTAGCTCAGGGATAATCTTCCTCAAAAATAAAGAAAAAAAATAAACAGAAGCCTTCCTGATGACTGTCCTCCGAGTCTTACTGCCCTGCAATATCTGCTAGAGAAGTAATTCATTGTGGAAAACCATATTTGACAAAGGAATAGGAAATTTCCTTCTGCAGAAAGTTCTTTGGTTTTACCCTTTGCTTTCCCAGATTGCATACAGGCATTTTAGATTCTTCAATTTAAAGAGGGTCTAAATCCCTCTCTAAGAGTGAGAGTCTGCCAAACAGGATTTTAAATACCAGTGGTGCCACTTACTTGCTACAAGGCTCTCAGAGCCTGTTTCATCCTCTGTTAAATGGGGCCAAGTCTAGTGAGAGCCGTTGGTACTCCTGCCTCGTTCTTGCTATTCATGTTCATTCCTTGACGGTGTGATTATTGGCCTGAATTTTACTGCCTATAATATTTGCCACATGTAGCAACTAGTTTAATTAGGACAATATGAGTTGGTAGAAAATAATTTTTTGGAAGTGATCAGACTGCTTCTGAAATTTCCTGGGCTCCTTTCAGAGGGTGTGTCCAAGAAACTAGGCAAAGACCAGGGTACTCAGGCCTCACTGAGCCTTGGGACCCCTCACCTTGCTTAACAAATGACCCTGGGCTTTTATTTATTACTGACTGAAGGGCCTTTGTGAACCAATTACCATGAGCAAACAGCACTTATTGTAAAGCAATAAACAACAATAAACCTTGCCCTTATCTAAATTCATTGCTCTAAGCCACAGAGCTGCAGGGAATGGTTAGGTTGAAAACCCACAGTTGGTTAAGACTGAAAATTTATAGGCACTCTAGTCCAGCTCTCCTTGGGGAGCCAACAGTGCGAAGTACCGAGTCTGGAAGGCCAGAGAATGCATGTCAGGGTCACCTTTGGTCTTTCACTGGGTGCAGAGGAGAAGAGAGAAGAAAAAGTCCTGGGTTTATCCAAACACCTTTTCCCCCAGGACATTTGGGTATGTAACACCTTAGAGACAATTTCTCCTTCAGGTATATTGACCAATAAAATAAATGGAAAATCACTGTTGTCTAGTTAAACATGGCAGATTGAAGACTCTCATTTATCCCTATTCTCACAAAACAAATTAAGCAAAGGAATTTTTAAATGATGTAAAGCCTCAAAGACTAAAAGAACACTAGACAAAGACACAGCAAAAGAGAAATAAACAATATTCACAGAAAGCTAAAAGTTAAACCTAGCAGGGAAGTGAATTAATTAGAGTCTCAGAATCCCAGAAAGACTCAGACGCTGGGGGAAGCGGTACCTCCAAAGTGGGGAGGGTTCAGGAAAAGGGCACCAGACACAGTGTGAAGGTGGGTAGACGGTAGCACTGAAGACAGTCTGCACACTGCTTCCTTCCCACATTTGGCTTGTGGCACATTAGCAGCTAGGCTTATAGCCCCAAAAGGCAAACTGAGAAAACTGACAGGACCAAGAAAAATTGGGGTCCCGCTAGTTGACTAAGATCCCTCCTGTGGTGGCCAGATTTAGCAAATAAAAATACAGGATCCCCAGATAAGTTTGAATTTCAGATAAATGATAAATAATTTCTTAGTAGAAATATGTCTCGTGCGATATTTAGGACATACTTATATTTCTTAAATTATTGTTCATCTGAAATTCAAATTGAACTGGACATCAGGTATTTTATCTGGCATCTCTATTCCCCACCCCAAATTCCAGTTGGCTTCTTCGTGACCCATTCTTATAGAGGAAGAAGGCTAAGAACCCTCAAATGTGTGAGAAAGTCCTCTGACAGGAAAGACAGAGGCCAAAACCAACCAACAGTACAAAGGAACTCAGAAGAAACGGAAACAGTGAAGGAAGCAGAAGAGAACCAGACCAACTAGAAGGAGTGTCATCAGAGAGAGAAGAGAAACATTGCTTCCGTGAAACGAGCACAGCATTCTATTAAAAAAGAAAAGAAGGAAGGAAAGGAGAGAGGGGAAGAAGGAAGAAAGTTCAGAAAATGAGAGAACTCTTGGAAATTGAAAATATGATCACTGAAATCAAAATTTTACTGTAAGAGTTGGAAGATAAATAGAAGACTCCTGGCACATTATCCTTATTCTTGTTCTTTTGTTATTGTGCCAACTTGTGAAAACATCTTCACAAACCAGGCCACATCCCCATATTTGGGGTCCAGTCTTTCCTCTTCTCCTGCCCATTCACCTAACTTATAAGCCTGCACTGTCCAACAAGGCCACTAGCCACATGTTCCTATTAAGCACCTGAATGTAGTTAGCCCATTTAAAAATATGCTGTAGGTGTAAAATACACATTGGATTTCAAAAGCGTAGTATGAAAGAAACATAAACTATCTCCTGAATAATTTTTATATTGCTTACATGTTAAAATAATAGTATTTTGGACATATTAGGTTAAACATATTATATTATTAAAATTAATTTTACCTGTTTCTTTTTACTTTTTTAAGTGTGGCTATGAGAAAATTTTAAATTACATATGTGGCTCACATTATATTTCCACTGCAGGGCACAGCTCCAAGGATAGTCCAGTCTTTTCCAAATCAGTTTGCAAGTTTTTGCTATGCAGAATTGAGAAAGGAAGAGAAAGGAACTGCAGAGATGGGAGGAACGAGAAGGGCAGAATGAAGAGCGGGGATGAACACAGGGCCTGGGTACTGGGGACAATTTCAGGGATTTGGTGGGTAAAAGTCTCTGTCAGCTGTAGATTAAGGAAGAGAGAAAAGGGAATTTAAGAAGTGTCCTTTGGGTTATGAATCAGATTCCCTTCAGTGTTTTTAGAAATTCACATCTCTAAAGATTGAAATGCAGGTTTAATTTCTTCTTGGCTCCTGGATTACCTTCTTTAATTAGGATTCTGGGAAATGGAGACTCCTGAGGGCCTCAGGATTTATTCGCTTTACTTTATTATTCTAAATATTCATTGAATTAGTCCACAAAGCTCTTTAGGACTTTTCTTTCCATCCCTTTACCCCATTATTTTGACCCTTCCAGCTGGGCGCCAGGGTAACAAAATGAGGGTAGGTTGCTCAGTGCTGGAAGTTCCCCTGTAGATTCCACCCCCCCCCACCCCCCCACCCCCCCTACTATCTCCTGCCCAATTAGAATCACACTGTGTTCCTGAGGGATTGACCCGTAATGGTGGTCATGTACTACTGGAGGTCTCCTCCCACTGAGGCTTTCTTGCCCACTTGGCTCTTTCTTAAAGATGAAGAAGCTTTTGCTTCATGAGATGCCACTTTCCTACCATCCTCATGTGTAAATTATTCAGGCCTTCCCTTTACACTTCCTCTGAGGCAAATGGTCCTGGATACACACTGCTTCCTCCCATGAGGAAATCTACCTTCTGAAATGTGGGAACAAGTCTTCAGGATGAAGGCAGAAGGGACAGACAGCAGCCAAAGCCAACCCCTCTGACCAACTCCAAGAATGCCCCACTTCCTCAAGCTCTGGAGAAGTCTAGAGAAGCTGCAATCCTCAGGGATTAAATAAATTGCTCAAGGGCACACGGCCTTCCCGTCCTTCCATTGCCCCTTCCTTAGCTCTTCCTGTCCCCTTACCTTTTCTGGCTCTCTCCAACACGTGTCTCTTCCTCTACCCTCCCTTCCCCTTACAGAAAGAGCCTGTATCCTCTTTAGAACCATAGTGTGTATGCAGGGCCAATTTCTTCTCCTTGAGGGTATTGCATTTTAAGCCTTTTAACTGGCTGTGGAAAGAAAAACTGGTTAAGAAGAATTTCAATCTCCAGGATGTGGTTGGAAAGTCCAGAGTATTTTGAGAGATGGGAGCCCTTTCTCAGGGCTCTGAAAACAACACTTTAGTAAAATGCTTACTTTAATTGGATAAAATAGGTCTAGGGAGGAAGACAATTTCTCTACCCTCTAGGTCCTTCTGGATGGTGTAAGAGTTATTCTTTTTTAATTTAATTTAATTTTTAAAAAAATTTTTCCTCTCCAAAGCCCCAGTACATGGTTGTATATTTTGTTTGTCAGTTCTCATTTTTTTTGGTGAGGAAGATCGGCTCTGAGCTAACATCAATTGCCAACCTTCCTCTTTTTGCTGAGGAAGATTGTCCCTGAGCTAACATCTGTGCCCATCTTCTCCTATTTTTTGTGTGTGGGATCCCACCACAGCATGGCTTGATAAGCAGTGTGTAGGTCTATGCCTGGGATCTAAACTTGTGAACCCTGGGCCGCCAAAGGAGAGCCCACGAACTTAACTACTACACCACTGAGTTGGCCCCTCTTCTGGTTCTTCTATGTAAGCTGCTGCCACAGCATGGCTACCAACAGATGAATGGTATGGTTTTGTGCCTAGGAACTGAACCCAGGCCACTGAAGTGGAGCCTGCCAAACTTTAACCACCAGGCCATCAGGACTGACTCATAGTCTAAGAATTAAATTAACATGAGATGGAATAACAGGAGAAAACCAAAGTTTAATAACATGTATACATGCGAGAGGCCCAGGAAAACTGAGTAAATCACCAGAATAGCCAAAGCTGCCACCTTAAATACCATCTTCAGCTAAAGACAAAGGAGGACGTTGTGGGTAGTGGTTTGGGTCTTCAAAGGGGTGGAAGGCAATTTACATGGAGATGGAAAAGCGAACATTTGATAAACAAATGTTCGCTGGGCCATCTATAGACAATGTGACCCAAGAGACACATTTTACATCACATTACAGTTATCTTACGGTATTAGCTCCTTCCTGGAACAGGCCTTCTATCTTAAATTCTTTTAGGCAGTCAGGGGGAAGGTCAAAGTTTCTTTCAGTCTTTTGTTCTTAAAAATAATCAAGGCAAAAAGACACATTTGGGGGTGACCAATTCGGATCCCCCACATAGGCCTCTTAGGGAGTCTATTCTGAGGGATCCTTTGACTCATTTGCCACCACTGACCAAAGCGATGCTTTGAAAAGGAGCACAGAGCTGTGGCGGGGTGGATGCTGAGTACTCCTCATTCTGGTGGGCTGTTGTGTATATCCTAGCAGTAACCTACAAAAATGTCATTGTGCTCAAAGCATAAGACTTTCTAAGGATTTCTTTGCAAAATAACACAGAAGCCATCAGAGAAAAAGCTTGTGTAACAGCTTTCCAGTGCACAATCTTGCCAAGGCTGGGTCACTCAAGTGTCACCTCTAATGTCACCTCCTCAGAGATGCCTTTCCTGACTACTCAATCTGTGGTAGCAACTCCCCAGCCCCATTCGCTCTGCATAACACTACAGTGTGTCACTCTCTTCATTTTTACTGCTACCTTAAATTTTCTTGTTCACTAATTAATGGTCTTCCCCATGAGAACATAAACTCCCTCAGGGTAGGAATATCGTCTGTCTTGGGCTGTCTCTCCAATGCTTGGCATGTACTAAGTGATCCATGACTATTTGTTGAGCGACTGCCTGAATAAATGAGAGAGAATGAGCAGGGGAAGAATTTATCAAGCCTTGAGAGGAGAATCCTGCCCCTCTTTGCTCTTTAGGGGCCAGGGTAGCTGTGAACGCTCAGACAGTGATCAGAAATTGCAGAACATTTAACAAGGCCGCAAGCAGTTGAAGGCCTAGCAGGTGGGCCGCCCAGTATATCTAAAAGAGGAGGGCAGTGTGCTTTAACTGGAAACGATACTCCCCAGTATTTTCTTCCAAGCTGAGTGTGGCCCAAAAGGGTAGAATACCCTGGAAAGGTTCTTTCCAAAGGGATTAGAACAGAGTGAAGGAGAAGAGATTAATGTGAAGCTGATCACTCTGAACTTCAAAATGTATATACTGTACCTGGGAACACAGCCAGAGTGCAAGGGGCGGGTGTGGACTGCGAACCCTCAGGTACGAATCCTGGCTCATAGGGAAGTCATGTGGCCCAGGAACAATGTGACATTGTAGAAAATGAAATTAATGGGATCAGTAACGATGCAGACGTACCTAGATTTCAAGGAGGATTTGAGCCTCTTAGGAGGGTCATCCCAGATCCCTTTTCATCAAGATTTCAGACAGAAATGTATGTGGTCCTGTAGCACTCCACTGGGAAGGGCATAAACCTAGGTGAACCTGTGTGGAACAAATAGACAAGGCAGGTCAGTGGGGCTTCCCTCCCTTCAAGTGAATACCTGGAAGTGCCCAGTGGGGTGGGGGCGGAATGCACTGCCAGCGGGGCTCTGCTCCATTGAGGGAAGAGAATGCTGAGAAGGATGAGCGTGCCTTGAACTGACACGAGCTCTTTACTTCTCAAAACCGTTTCAGGTCTGTTGTCTCATTTTACTCCCATTTCAAACCTGTGAGGCTGGGAGGGCAGTTGCTGTTTTCAGGTCCATTTATAAACATGCAGACTTAGCACAGTAAGCGTGTGGCTTGTCTAGAGACAACTTGCATAAAACAGTAGGAGAACCAGTGCTCTCTCCACCAGGTTTCTAAAAATGTAGGCCCCCTGCTTCAGACTCATCTGAGGAGCGTGTTTAACAACCGGCCCCAGAAACCCTTAATCAGAGTATCTCTGGGGCGAGGTCCAGAAATCTGCACTTTTTGTTATTAATTCCAGGTGATTCCTATGCATGCTATGATTTCGCCTGGCACACAATCCTTAACTCTAAAACAATTTAGAATCCATTGATCCATTAGTTCAATTTTGACCTCGTGAGCTCATCTGCTCCTGCACTTTTTTTCTCCCTTTTTTCCCTTTGAACTGGAAACACAGGGAGTTCCTTAGAAGAGAGGGTTGTGTGGCTGTAAAGAAAGGAGTGAAGAAACGTTGATGGGGCTATTTGAAGCTCTGGTGAGGAGCACTTGTTAAAACAATCATAATTAACTTGCAGATTGTAAAACATGGCAGAGCCTGGGAATCTGCTCTTCAGTGGTTAAAGCAACACGTAACCCAACTAGCTGATCATGTGTTCCAGGACTCAAAAGAATTGACAAAGAGCTGTAGAGTCATCACCACGGGCAGAACCAAAGCTCCACTGGCAGGCTGGAAGGCTGTTGAAACAAGATATGCTGCAACAAGTTCTGGAGCAAAATAAAGCAAGCATTTTCAAACAGCCATTGGAAGCTGACAAAGTGGGCATGGGGGAGGATCTACCACAACATCCAAAGCAATTTAAGGGAATACCCGGGGCCAATGGAGAATGGATTCTTGGGAAGAGGGGAGCGGAATTTATAATCTTTTTTTTTTTTTTTTTTGCTGAAGAAGATTCACCCTGAGCTAACATCCATGCCAATCTTCCTCTGTTTTGTATGTGGGTTGCCACCACTGACGAGTGGTGTAGGTCTGTGCCCAGGAACTGAACCTGGGCCGCCAAAGCAGAGCACACGGAGCTTAACCACTAGACCACAGGGCTGGCCCTTATAATCTATTTTTAATGTAAACTATTGTGAGTTTGTACAGTGAGTCACCAAGAATAGTGCCTTTACTTCTCTAGTAATCTTTTACATTTATAGAGCTCTTTATGGCTTAAAAGCTTCCACGTTATTGCTTTCATGTGATTCTACAGCACCTTAAAATTACAAAGCACTTTCACCATACTTCATTATTTACAATCTTTATCACTGCTCTGCAATATTTATCATGCCCATTTTGCAAGTGAGAAAATTTAGGTTCATAAAATTAAGGGATCTGCTGAAGATTACCCAACTCATTTGTGGAGAAGCTGGAACTCAGCTTCAGGGCTTTCCCATTTCCACATCTGCCTCTCTATTATGGATTTCTGCAAATAAAGAGGATATAGCTCAGGCAGTCATTGCAGTGAGGCCTATGACCCAAGCTCCCATTGACGGAGGAGGCAGTAAAGCTGAGGCCTTGCCCCAGGTCACACGGTTATCACCAGAGCTGAGATACTGACTCCCCATCTCTGATCATCCAGTGCAGAGTTCATTCTACTTTGCCCTGCTTCCTCTCGTAGTTTGTAAGCAGCTAGATATAAATCTCACATGTTAATTTGGAAACTTGGAATAAGAACTTTTAATAAGCTAGCCCCCTAAAGTATGGGAGCCTAACAGATTAAAAATTCATTAAATTGATTTAAAAGGGCATCTCTGGCCTTTTACATTTAGTGGCTTTAAAAGCTTGGAGATTTTGGCTTCTCACACCTTGATATTATAATCAATGTACTTGCCACAGTAAGCAGTGTAGAATATTTACTTTGAATAATGTCCAGATTTCTCTTGTTGGTGTAGATGGCTATAAGCTCCAGATAATGGCGAGATGGAAGGAGTAGTTTTATGTTAGACTTTGATAAAATGCAGACAATGATAGAAAGGAAAATTGAATTTAAAACATGATTTCTAAAATTACCAGTTACTAGAGGCTACATGAGGGCTAGCCCCAGGACGAAAGGCAAAAATGAGTGCACCTAGAAGGGATATGAACAGGTTTTTGTACATCTGTGTTTATGGTAGCATTATCACAACAGCCAAAACATGTAAGCAACCCAAGTGTTCATCCACAGATGAATGGACAAGCAAAATGTGTTATGTATATACAATGGAATAACATGCAGCCTTTAAAAGGAAGGAAATTTTAACACATGCTACAACATGGATGAAACTTAAAGATGTTACTGCCTGCAGACATAGGTTCCCTACCCACCATACAAGAGGTGCCAAATAAAAACTAGAACACCAGGCTTATGGCAAGGAAAGGGTTTTGATTTCAGATGACATCAGCCAGGAGATGAGAGTCCTCAAATTCATCTCGTCTCTTCTTGTCTCCCCAAAAGATGGGAGGTGAGGGGTTTTAAAGGTTGCAAGGAATGTTTCTACTTGGGAGGGGTGGGGGGCAGAGAGTTTGTGGCCTCACTGGTCAGAGCTTTCCCACCAGCCTGCCTTCCGCCTTGGGAGGCTGCTCACAGGGAGGAGGATGATAAGGGAATTTGCAAGTGGGTGACCTTGGCTGTTTGTCCCCATGGTGGATAGTGGTTTCTAGAGCCGGGAAGCCAGAGAGTAAGCAGGGAATGAGTGCTTTGGTTTTAACCCCATATATGCTGGGTTTACTGTGGGGGAACCGATATTGGGGCTGGTATCAAAGACATTAAGCTAAGTGAAATAAGCCAGTCACAAAAACACAAATATTGTATGATTCCTCTTATATAAGGTTCTTAGAGAAGTGAAATTCATAGACAGAAAGTAGAATGGTGGTTGCTAGGGGGGAGGGGATAATGGGAAGTTAGGGTTTAACAGGTGCAGAGTTTCAAAAAACTGAGTGTGCCTTGCTTTTTGGTTTCCTCCCTCAGACCGATGGGCAGTAGGGTTATATGTCCTTGGGACAACCCAGGAGTCCAGTTCAGGCTCCAGATTTTTTTCAAACTTTTCACTGAAAACAGCACTGCAAAGAAACAATAAGACAAATCCAGAAAGCGGGACATTCTATAAGACAGGTGGCCTGGCCTCTTCGAAAGTCAGTGCCCCTAAAAAAGAAAAGATGGGGAGGTTACTCTAGATTTAAAGAGACATAACCAAGCACGATGCACACATGAACTATGATTGGTTTCTTGTTGGGAAAAACAACCTAAAAGACATTTGGGGAACAACAGAAAATGTGTGAATATTGACTCACTGTTAGATAATATTTAAAAGTCACTGTCAGTTGTTTTAGATGTATTAATGGTATCGTAGTTACGCAGGAGAATCTCCTTATTGGAGGAGCTGCACACCGGAGTATTTAAGGCTGAAGTGTCATGACGCTTGCAACTTCCTTTCAAATGATTGAGGGGAAATATATACACACACAATAGCAAAGAAACTGCACAAATAACAGCAGAAAATGGCAAAGTCATAGACAAAGCATCATTGAATCTAAATGGTGTGTACAAAGGTGTTCGTTGTATTACTTTTTCAACATTTTTGTAAACTTAATGTTTATTATAAAATGTTTAAAATTGAGTACTCATAGATCGGTAAATATTAAATCTCCAGTTGATGCCTTCCGTGATCAAAACCACCATCACCACCAGTTACTGTGTTCATGGTGTACCAGGCACTTTGCAAAATCTTTACACACACTATTTCATTTAATTCTCAAACACTCTACAAAGAGGGTACTTTCATCAGTCTCACTTTCACAGATGAGTGCGCTGAGGTACAGAAATTCAGTAACTTCTCCAAGATTCTCAGCTAGCGAGTAGAGTCAGGATTCAGTCTGGCTGCAGGCTGGCTTCGCTCTTCAGAACTTCTGGAAGCACTGGAGACAGTTTCGGACATTGAGGCAAGGCTGTGATGAGAGGTGTTGGGACCAGAAAGCCTTTCAGATCCCCTCAAAGCATGGCCGTGAAGGGGATGTTTCAGCCACCCAGGGGCAGGGTCCACTTAGGCTGCAGAGGCCACACGTAAAAGTTTCTGTTACCAGGGTTCTTTGGTGATGCTGCCCATCCCCAGGAAAGGCGGAGCGTTTACAGCCATTATCTCATCATAGCCCCAGGCAAGCTGGGAGCAAGTGTAAATAATTGTTTTTAGTTGCAGCCACAGAGGGTTGCCTGAGGCTCCTGGCTCCGGGATGCACCTGGCTTTAGACAGCAACAACAATAACTACAACAGTTAACATTTACATAACACTCACCGTGTGCCAGGAACTCTTCTAAGAGCTTTAAATACACCGAGGAATCCCCAAACACCCCTCTGGAGTGGGTCTGTTATCCCCATTTTAGGCACAGGAAAACCAAGGCACAGAACGTGAGTTAAGTGCCCAGGTCACACTGATAGCAAGTGAAGGAACCTGATTCCCAGCCAGAGGGGACCGGAGAGCTGCCCAGTGGTTCTTGGCAGTCCTGGGGGGAACTTGGTCTCAGTGCTTGCCCGTGACAGGGTGAGTTTAACGAAGTCACCTCCACCCCTCACCCCAGGGGTACTCAAAGAGGCTGCTGCCCTCAGTGCCTCTGCCAGATACATGAACCTGTGTTCTGATTTCCTCCTTGTTCTAAACTCGGTCTTGTGGGTCTTTGTTTCCTACAAAACAGCAGTAATTCCCCGGGGTTTGATATCCGAGCTAATCATCCCACCTGGCTACCTGCCTAGGCTGTGGTGGCTCAGCCCTAACAAACCACAGGAAATTTGCAAGCTTGTCTTCAACAGAAAGAGGAGGCTTCCAGGTCAGCGGCACCTGAGACAGCCAACCAGAAAGCCAGCACTGGACCTGATTGTAAAGTGGGGCAGAACCAGGCCTGCCCACGGTCCCCACCCGTATTCTCCCACCTGCCACTGTGGCAGTGTCAGATGAACCCTGTACTCTAAGGTGCGGCAATACTTTGTCACCTCTCCCAAGGGGTGACAACATCTTGGATCCCTTAGAGACAGCAATATCCCACCCAAAGGAGTGACTCTCCAGTGACAGAATTTCAGGCATGATAATAGAATGAGGTTTATTTTCCTTCCTGCTATAGGAAAAAAAATTTTCTGTTCCTCTTCACTGGCCACCAAGCCCCACAAATCAGCTAAGGCTTTGTGTTCAGTGGCTCCTGGTTTTGTCTTGTGGGGGTGCCCGGGAGGTCATGGGGGGAGCCCTTAGCTAATGGCTTCTCTACAATTCAGGGATCAGGCACAAGAAGGAATTAAGCTAAAGGTGCCCCAGAGGATGGGGTGGGGATGGGTGGAGAGAAGGTGGGTCTTCCTGGATCAGGGAGAGCATCGAATCCTACAATCAGGGAGGACAATAAAGGGGAGGCACCCTTAAATGGTGGAGAGCTGTGCCTCTTCTGTTCAGGGCACAGCCCTAGAGGTTGTAGGGCCCTGGGAAGAAGCTGGGGCCTGGCAGCTGGGCCTCCAGAATGTAGAAAGGTCTTAGTGGCAGCAATCTGGTGAGACGAGGAGGATACTCTAAGCTGTTTATGTGTCTATTGACAAATAGAAATGGCAAGCAATAGGATATATTGGAGAATATGAGGAAGCCATTTGGTGTAAACCTAATTCGGCCTGACCTTGTCTTTCCAAAAGGGCCTGACCGTGGCCGTTGAGCATGCATTGTATATCTGCTTTAGACATTCCCTATGGCAAAGGCCCTTGAGATAAAGGTGCAACTTCCCTCTCCCTCCCAACGTTGGCATTTCCTAAAGGATTAAGCACCTTTCCTTGGGCTAGGAACTGATTGCTGCCCTCACCTGTGACCACCCAGCTCGAGACAACAGACTTGCTTCCTGCTGCATCCGCCGAGATAGCAGACCCACTACCTGCTGTGTCCATCAAACACTGTGCTGACAGAGCAGTCTCATGACTATTGTGGGAGGGACATTTCAATCGTGTGAAACATCCCGTTTGGGGATATATAACCACTCTGTATACCTCACTTCTTTGGTGCCCTTTCTTCCTTCGGGAAGAAACGCCACAGGCCATGGTCCTCAGATTTTAGCTCAGAATAAACTCTCCCAAATTTTCATTTATAGATTGGTTATGGATTATTTTCGTCAACACTATATACATGGAAATGAGCAAAGATTAATTATCTCTAGCAAAGAATGGGGGATGATGCCCCAGATTATGGAAGATCTAAAGTTTCCTCAAAGCTCCTTCCATCATCCTCCCACCCCAAACTTGGCACGTAACTAACGCTTCAGGGACAATCTCCAATTCTATGACCTTGAAAACATGGACAAGGGCCCCCTATGCAGAACCTGCAAGCAAAGTAGACATGGCTGGAAAACTTTTAGTCCAATAGCTGCATCTCACAACAAGTGAAGCAATATTAATAATGGTGGCTATTTTATTGACTATCTCAGACCCCTGTCCCATTTTTCTGTTACCAAGTAGGCCCCTGGATTCTAGTACTGCCCAGTGGAGGGGAAGAGGGAATTTCAATAATAATTAATATCAAAGATCCCAGCAGCCAGGCTAAGGTGGGGCTCAGAACTTGATTTCAGTTGATTTGGAAAAAACAAAGAGATGTGCATTTCCTTCCTCCTTGATGAAGTGCAGCAAATTCATACCTGTTATTTAGGCCTCAGTGGGAGGGGAGTGGTGGGGGAGGGGAGTGGTTAGACCCACCCTCAAATCACCAGGCAGCTGGAGAAGCTGCCAGGCTCTGCCCTCCTCCATTTGCCTTTAGTTGGCAAAAAAGGCAAATTCGCCCCATCCTCCTGAGCCAGAGTTTGCAATGCAGAGTCTGCAAGAATGTTTGCTTGGAGAGCCGCAGTTTTTTATCTCAGCAGGTGTAACTCCATCACATGATTGTCTTGGATCTGCTTTGCTCTGCGCTTGCCCAAGCTTGCCAATTCAGACAAGACCGCTGAGAAATAAATAGTCCTTTTCTGTGTCGTCCCAGAAAGCACTGGGCATCCCTTTACATAGAATATAATGAGCATTTCCTCACTTCCTGAGTTAGAGAGGGCCTCTCTCCCTGCCCTGAGGCCTATAAGCTCAACTTCCTCTTTGCAGGCAACTCACTGGCCTCTTCTGGGAAACCAGCCTGATCCTGTGGCCTCCTCTTGCCCCCTCCTAAGCTTTATAGGTCACCAGACCAATCAAAGAAAGAAGAGTTCAAGGAGAGGCAGAAGGCCCAGCCCAGGGCCTCTGTAGGGACACAGCCACAAGAGCCCTGCTGCCTTGGAAACTTCCAGTACAACCTGGCTATCTCTAGCCCCAAGGGTTATTTCCATTGCAATTTAAGGTTACCTTAAGCAGGTAACTTTCACTTTCTAGAACTGGTGACAAGGAAACCAACAGAAGGGGCCTGCCAGCCCAAGTACCTAAGGTTCAGCCAGTCAGCCCAGGAGGAGGGAAGGTGGCTCCTTGTCAATGGTGGCTGCCTGCCCATCCATACCTAAAAGGCTTTTGGGGTCCTGTGAAGCCAGGTCAGGGGCTAACCTTCCTCTTTCGGGCCACAGATGTTCGCTCTGGATGTTTGTTCAGGACTAAGCTGGCTTGGGAGCCTCTGGGATTCTCAGCAGCCCTGGTCGGGACCAAGAGAAATTAGATACTGTGGTTGAATTCCAGGGACTCCTTGGGAGTGGGGTCAGACTCCATGGGGACCTAATTTTCACCTGCTCCAAGTTCTCTTCAAAGTGTTTTTAATTTAACAAGCTCTTGTATGAACATCGTCACAGCAAAACAAGTTTTAAAACTCTGAACACTCTTTCTAACCAATTGTTCTCATTCGTCTTTCCTCCATGCTGTCCTTGGCCCTGTCCTTGTCCGCATGCAAACATACTTTGCGCAGAGTTGTTTTCTTAATATAGGTAACTGTTCTCACTTTTCCAACAAGATAACTGCTACTGCTCAGCCTTTCATTTTGTAGCTCAATGGTTCTGAAGGCTGGCGATGCGTCATTTGGAGTGCTTGTTCAAAGTTCAGATTTCTGGGCCCCTTCTTGAGTAGACTTGATTCTGTAAGTCCAGGGGAGGGGCATAGGATTCTGCTCCCCTGCCCCATACAAGACCATAATGTTAATGAGAATATTTCTTGTAAGCAGGCTACAGGGTAATAGAAACAAGATGATAGAGAAAGAAATCACTTAACTGTCTTCTTCAGTGCTTGTGAAGATACACACAGCCTCTCTAGGCCCCTAGCTGTCTCTGATGATGTTGGATTTTCTCCATTTGCCCCTCATGTCCCACTTGCCACCCTTCTCCACCTGCTCTTTCCCCAGAGGCTGAGCCACAGGGACTGCATCAGTGGGCTCTTTGCCCTCCAGCCTCTGGGAGGGTTGGCCAATGAGGTTGGCATAGTTATTTCTCTGGTTCCCTCCTGCCAGGTGGCCCTTGGCCCTTGCCGTCAGCCTTCCTTCTAGGGTCCCTTAACTGGTTCCACTCCCCGGCCCTTTCAGGCCTAGTGGCGGTAGTGGCTCCTACACTTACCAGCCAAGAGCAGAGCATCATCTCTTTTTCTTTGTTTAAGCCCAGCCCATGCTTTGCAAATAGTGCTTTTATTACCTTGTTCTCAAATGACTCAATAGAAGGCTATTTTTTGCCAGGACCCTGACTGATGTAACCTTTAGAACATTTTGCTTTTATTACTAAGTTAATATGGGGGCATTTTTAACTTAATTTTGCCCTTTCCTGAGCATCTGCAAGTGGGATTTTATTTTCCTATAGTAAAAAATTTCCCTTAGTAAATCTAATGTATCTTTTTAAAAATTTAAAATATATAAAATAATTTTTGGCTTGTTTTAAAAGGGAGATCCTTACTATAGTTGCTTTCAAGAGATAATTTTGTGTAAATATGAAAAAAATTCTGGTAAATTCTGTGTTTTGAACAAATACTGCCTGGTGGTTCTGATGTCTGTTGGTTTAAGAAGTATGGGGTAAGTGGGCTCTTTGAGCTCCTTACAAGGCAGCCTCTTAACACATCAGCATCTCCTCCAAAGTGCCAGGATGTCCCTCCTTTAGGGCCCATAGCAATGAGTTTGAGATAAAACAATTTTATGTAAAAGAACAATCTGATATCTGGATTTTGGAGAGACTGTCCTTAATGTCTGCTTTCGAAGTCCACGAAGGCTGTGCACGCAAATTTTTTTTTTTTTTTTTTTTTTTTTTGTCTTGTACTCAAAGCTTTTCCTAGAACACACATAGAAATATTCCCTATTTTTAAAATGGCTGATTTGTCCCTCAAGCTCAGCAACAGCTCCTTGTGAAGCTCTTAATCCTTGCACGTCTGGAATGAGAATATCCCACAGTGCTTTGGCAGATGGAGCCATGCCCAACAGAAGCCTTATCCTGGCTCTGCATCTTCTTTCCCAGCACAAGCACCTGACTCAAGCTCAGAAGGTGGAGAAGGTACTGGAACGTCCTTTTGCCCTAGTCCACCAATCCCAACTTCAGTCCCACCCCTTATTCTTCCCTCTGATCTAAACGGATCGTTTCCCAAATTTGATCCCTTTAAAGATATTCAATAGGAGGTTGATTACGAACATGGCATGCTCATTATTGTTCTGAGCTGCTCATCAGAAGCTGTTGCTAAGGACTGCTCAGGACTACACTCTGTTCCTGTCCACTCCCACGCCCTAGAAGGGTCTCACATGAATTAGGCCAGGACAAGTTCCAGCAGATAGGAACTATAGGAAAATCTGGAACAGAAGCAAAAAGTGACCTCAGCAATCCAGTCTCCTTTACCTTGCCGTGTGCCCTGCTTTCCTCAACAACTTCAGAGTGGCCACTTCTTGACAGCTTCCCTTAGCCTTGTCTTTGATTTTCCGACACTTGTCTGCATGAACTTACATCATCTCTGCTTGAGGCTCCAATTGCTGGTTGTCAGGCTGCTCTGGCTTCTGTCCTCGAAGCTTCCCCAGTGAGCTCCGAGCAGTGAGCTGCTCCCTTGCCAACTCAAGCCTGTCCTAACCCTTTTTCTGATGAGAGGCAGGTCCCACCTGACTGTCAGCTTCATCTGACACAGAATAATGAACAACCAGAGCCATTTACATCCCAGTGAGCAGTAGTAGTCATCATGAAAAGCTTTGAGCCAGGTGATGATATAATCAGCGATTTGTTTAGGAAATATATATTTTTAAAAATTGGCGGGGCCGGCCTGGTGGCACAGCGGTTAAGTTCACACATTCTGCTTCTTGGCAGCCCGGGGCTCACCGGTTTGGATCCCAGGTGTGGACATGGCACTGCTTGGCAAAAGCCATGCTGTGGTTGGTGTCCCACATATAAAGTAGAGGAAGATGGGCATGGATGTTAGCTCAGGGCCAGTCTTCCTCAGCAAAAAGAGGAGGATTGGCAGTAGCTAGCTCAGGGCTAATCTTCCTCAAAAAAAATAAATAAATAAAAAATAAAAACTGGCTATAGTGAAATACAGACTTACCCCCAGGGTCTGCAAGAGGCCCAGGGCATGAGTACAAATTGAGGCCCACATGTCACATATCTAAAAGCTATAAATCAAAGTAACAAATTATTAAATAAAACATATTCCTTCCCCTTACACTGATAAATAAACCTTCATAGCAACATGGAAGGTCAGGTTCAAAAATAGAATTCCTGAAT